GATCTGGGGTTTGAATTCAGGCCCTGAAGGCTGTGTGTGTGTGTGTGTGTGTGTGTATGTACACGTACGTGAGCATGCATGCGTGCTTATTGGATCTGGGGTTTGAATTCAGGCCCTGAAGGCTGTCTTCTACCTTTTGTGCTAGTGCTCTACCACGTGAGCCATAGCTCTACTTCTGGCCTTTTCTGTTTATGTGATACTGAGGAATCGAACCCAGGCCTTCGTGCACGCTAGGTAAGCACTCTACCACCAAGTCATATTCCCAGCCCAGCTGTATCAATTTTTATTGAAAAGTAAATCATTGCCTCTTTCCCCATCCACCCCTTGTGCAGCCATTTCTCTTCTGGCTTAAAATTTGCATCCTCATAGCCATCATTTAACACTATCTGTAAAATTTTTCATATTTAACAAACAAGAGAGCTTTCATCTACTAAGATCCCCATGACTTAGGGCTATTATATTTTGACACACAAAAAATACTTCCTTTTGCTGCAGCCTGTTTAGAATTTTTTGCTGCACCCTAATTAGAAAAGTCCATTTGTTGAGGCAAAGGGCAGGGTGGGTGTATCATCCTGTGTGTTCGGAAAGATAAATGCCAAGCATTTGTGTGTGCTCATGTGGGATTTGTCACACCTTGTTAATTATAATCCCTTCTTCTGAGTCTTTTAAGACATATTAATACTGTTCTCTAGGCTTGTGAGTCACCCTTTTTACCCCCAGTGAGCTGTGTCGTCTGCACCTCTTGTCTCTGGGTTTTGTGTGCTGTGTGTCAAGGGGAGGAATCTGCTTTTCAGGTGGGAAGTGATTAGTGCCTATCAGTGCCAAAGCACAGATCTCTCTGCTAAGTCTCCAAGAGGCCAGAAGTGAGACTTGAGAGTCAGTGTATGACGGCTGTGGGGGTTTCTGGGGATTGAACCCAGGGCCTTCCTTGCACATGCACGGAGCTCCACCTCCAGCCCCAAGTCAAATCTATTTTTATGCATAGAGAGAGGGTTAACCAAAATCACTGAAGTTGGCAAAATTTAAAAGTGTGGGTGAGGAATAGAGAAGGGAGGCAAGCTACTGAAGCAGAGGGATGTTAGAAGGCCCACAATGTCAGACTGTGGGGTTAAAGCTAACTCTCCAGGTCTTTGGGAGTCACTGAAGTTTTTTAAGCAGGAAACTTCCAGACTGGCCAAGTGGGAAAGCACCTGGTGGGGTGAGCTTGATGAAAATTTCAGAGTGGTAAAAACTTGATCGAATTTATGTGTAGAACTTAGGTGGCTTGCGGCATAAATCGCTGCAAAATGAAACTGAAGACTTTAAAATCTGAACAAAAACATTCTGTGTTTGAAAGTTCTCTGAGTCTTGAGTATAAATTTTACTGCTTTGTAAACTACAAAAAAAATTATCTGTTTGAAAGTTGTCTGAGTCTTGAGTATAAATTTTACTGCTTTGTAACCCACAAAAGACATGAAAATGGCAATGATATTATTGGCTCAGGTAGAGGTCTGAGAAGACAAACCACACACAAACATGACAGTGGAAAGAACAAATGTGGTTCTCTGATCCCATAGGGAGGTGCCCCCAGAGACATCAGGCAGTATCTGGAGACATTTTTGTTGTCATGACCTGAGTAAGGAGAGAGATCTCCTGGCATCTAATAGTAAAGAACAAGGATAGCAGGGCACCAGCAGCTCACACCTATAATTCTAGCTACTCAGAGGTTGAGATCTGAGGATTGTGGTTCAAAGCCAGCCAGGGCAAGAAGGTCCATGAGATTCTTCTCTCCAATTAACCAACAGAAAACTGGAAGTGGCTGTGTGGCTCAAGTGGTAGAGTGCCTTGCCTTAAGCTGAAGAGCTCGAGGATAGCATCCATGCCCAGAGTTCAAGCCCCACAACTGACAAAAGAAAAAATGATGTTGGTCAACATCTTACAAAGTACAGGACAGCCCTCCATAAGACACTATCCATCACAATGTCCATAGTTTTAAGTCAGAGTCTTGCCAGGAATCTGCATCTGAGTACTAAACGTGCCATTTGCCCATTGAGAGGTCCTGGACCAGCTATTTAACCTGAGGGTTAGCTTTCACACATAAAGTGAAAAGTGAACACAACTCATATCCGATGCATATTATGCACTACGCACCTCTCTGGTGTTTCAGAGGTCATCTTTCCCACATCCCAATGAGGTTCTATTATTTCACTTACAGATGAAGTTAAAGCAATGAAAACTCATAGCATATACATGGAACACAGTGAATATTAGAACTCAACTGTCAGTATCAGGTTGGTGTAGGTTCTGGGACTTGAACTCAGGGTCTGGGCACTCCCCCTGAAATTTCTGCTCAAACGTAAAACTCTACCATTTTTAGGGAAGGAGTGACATTGTCCAAAAAGAAATGTACTCACTACCTGACTTATATAACTAACTGCTCACCTTGGGGTTGGAGATGTGTCATGAATGTGAGGTGGGCATGGTGGCTCATGCCTATAATGCCAGCCACCTGCGAAGCAAGAGACGATCAGTGATTCAGTGCAGCTCAGCCTCAACCAGCTAAAAAAAGCTTAGTGCTGGCACCCACTTGTCACTCCAGTTATCCAAGAAAGATAAATAAGAAGATTGCAGTCCAGGTCACCCCAGGCAAACAATAAAAGACTATTAAAAATATATATAACCAGGGGCTGGGAAGGTGGCTCAGTGGTAGAGCGCGTGCCTTGCATGCCTGAGGCCCTGGGTTCGATTCCTCAGCACTACATAAGCAAAAAGAAAAAAAAGCCAGAAGTGGCGCTGTGGCTCAAGTGATAAAGTGCTAGCCTTGAGCTGAAGAGCTGAGGGACAGCGCCCAGGCCCAGAGTTCAGGCCCGATGACCGGACCCCCCCCAAAAAAATATATATGACAGGTCCAGTAACTAACCTATTATCCAAGTCCCTGCCCCTACCTCTAGAAATTCAGACATGCCCATCCCTTGGGAAGTGGGACTTTCCTGCCTCCACCATGAAGATAAGATGGTGCCTGTCAAACCCAATACTATATCATCCATCAAGATGGTACCTGTTATACTAAACACTGTCCCTGAGCTTCTTTTTCTTCAACGTTAGCACTCTACCACTTGAGTGTGCCACTTCCAACCTTTTCTGTTTATTTGAGCTGTGGCTCAAATGGTAGAGTGCTAGCCATGAGCTGAAGAGCTGAGGGACAGTGCCCGGGCCCTGAGTTCAAGCCCCATGACCAGCAAAAAAAAAAACAAGCCAAAGTGTGTGCTATATCCCTTGAGCCATAGCTCCACTTCTGCTTCTTTGCTCATAACCAGAGACCAGTCTTGCCCAGCCAGGACCTTCTTACCCTTCCTGGCTTTGAGCCATGATCTTTAGATTCCAGCTTCCTGCATAGGATTACAAGCATAATCTACAGGTGCCTGGCTAGCAATACCTTCTTATTATCTTAAAACAGTTAACAGGTAAACTACCCACTGGACCCCAGAGACTGGGCTAATGGTCAACCAGGTCACATCCTTGACCTGGGACTGTTTTGTTTGTTTTGGTCCGTCGTGAACTCTGGGCCTGGGTGCAGCAGCTCTTCAGCTCAAGACGAGCCTCTACCGCTTGAGCCACAGCGCCACTTCGGTTTTCTAGTGGTTTATTAGAGATAAGAATCTCATAGACTTTCCTGCTCGGGCTGGCTTTGAACCTTGATCCTCAGATCTCAGCCTCCTGAGTAGCTAGGATGACAGGCGTGAGCCACGGGTGCCCGGCTAGGGACTGTTTTAAACTGTTTTAAACCTTTCTCATTCTCTGCCTCCAATTCTATTTAACCTAAGGCCAATTATTGGTGCTCCTAAAGCCGGCTGAAGGTGTACTGCAGTGCTGTCTTCTCACTGCTGCCGTGTAATCAGTCTCTTTTTGCTGCCCTTCATCAGGTCTGTCTACCTGGCACATGGGAGGCTGGTGGTCAGAGCTAACATGGGTCTGCTGGACTTTAGCCTGAGGTCTAATTTGAGAAGCACAGGAAGCATTTGCACACCATTGTGCCATTCAACATCAACACTGGTTCAAGGACCGACCATCACCCTGGCAAACCCGCTGGAGGAGGAACCCGCTGTGGCCCAAGTGGCACGTGCGGGAGCCGATGCCCGCACCGGCGGCCCCCCATCTCTCTCCTCCTTCCTCCGTCTGCAAAAACCAGGCCTTGGGAAGCGCAGGCTTCAAGGACCGGGGTGGGGGGCACGATGCGGGGTGCTGCGGGGCCAGGCCAGGAGACTTTCAGGTGCATCTGGAAGGGAAAGGGCGCGGACAGCGTGGGCAGCCGGCCTGGGCGCCGGGCGCGGGGCGCAGAGCCGGGTCTGGCCCTGCCCCGCCCCGCCCCGCCAAGAGAGCACGGCCGGCGACCACGGCTCCAGGCCACACCGCTTAATGGCGGCGGCGGCGGAAACCCCGCGCACCTATCATGGCTGCCGGCGGCGGCGGGGCGGAAGGAAGCCGGCAGAAATGGCTCCCGGGCACGAGACCTGTCTCGGCGGCCGGGGACGGTGGGACCACAGGGCCGCCAAGGCTCTCGAAGAGGCCCGGCCCAAGCCTGAGGACGCTCAAGTTTAACGACAGCAACGCGAGCAGAGTCATTGTTCCCGCAGAGCAAGCCCCCGTACGGCGGCTTCACGTTGCGTCCCGCCGTCGGAATCCGGCCAAATCCTCTATTCTCCAAACAGAATGCGCTACGCACACAGCGCAGCTCCGCAATAGTGGGCCGACTAACGACTAAGGAATGTTACGTCGCACGAGGGGAGGAGGGGCTGGCCCCTCGCCCCACCCCCACGTTCGACTTCAGGCGGCGCGAGAATTCTACGCCTCTTACGTACTTTGTTTTTCTTAGCCGATAGCAAAACGCACCCGTCTCCGATACTGACGTAAATCGCTTCCAAGAATTTCCGTAGCGCCCAGCGGAGCCCTCGGGCTATTCCGAGACGCTGTTTACGTACGGTCCCCGCCGTGCGTAGCGTTAATTTGGAGCAGTCTCCGCGGCGGCCGCCATTTTGTGCAGTCGCTGGGAAGGAAGGAGACGCCTAGACCGCGGCCCTGCCCGGTTTGAGCGTATCCAGACCTACCCACCGTCTTTATAACCCCGATTCTCTGTGTTTTGCTCCCGTCTCCGACGAGAGAGGCGGCGACGGTGGCGTCTGCGACGGGAGACAGCGCGTCGGAGCGAGAGAGCGCCGCGCCTGCCGCCGCCCCAACAGCGGAGGCGCCGCCGCCATCGGTCGTCACCCGGCCGGAACCGCAGGCCCTTCCGAGCCCGGCCATCCGTGCCCCGCTCCCCGATCTCTATCCATTTGGGACCATGCGCGGAGGCGGCTTTGGGGACCGGGACCGAGATCGAGATCGTGGCGGGTAAGACGGCGGGAGTCGGGGGAGGCCGCGCGGGCTACGGGCCCCCGAGGCACAATGGCGGCCGACTGCGCGGGCCCG